TTCTAAAATCAATCAAACATTTTTGAAAAATAGTTATCTATTAACACAAAACTTTATGAACCAGTGATTGTCACATTCCACAGCAGCATATTGACCAAAAAAATACCACGCTAGTGTGAATTGTGGAGAAACTATTTCTAAATTTTTCTAAATAGTTATTTATAAAAAAGGTGTTTATTAATAAGGTAAATTGTAAGTAATATTTTACATATATACTTTGTTTTTTTAGCAGTGGTGATGTAATGAGAAGGGAAATATGAACTCTAAAATCTCAACTCTATTCCCTATGCTGTACCTCCACCCCTAATATGGTATTTTTTAGAAGATAGTAGAAGCTTTGTTTTGAGCATCTTCATAAAAACAAGGTTAATCAGATTCTATAACACAGTTCAACCTATTTATCATCTACAGTGTTTTTAGATTTGACCTGTAATATGCGTACATTTTTATTAGATGTTTAGTTATTTATAAACATTTAAATTCAAATAAAAGTTCTGCTGACAGTGGTACATAGTTTGAAAACTGTTGGAGCTGATAATATTTAAGAGTCAGTTTAGTAAAGTGGTCCTCTGGAGTCAGGTGGACTTAAATCCCAGATCTGCCAGTGCAGCAGTGTGATCTTGGACCCTAACTTTCCTACTGATTAAAAAAGGCGGGGGGGAGGGGAGGTCCCAACTCGCATGGTTGTTTGACAATTAAATGAGATAATACATAGAAAGCACTTAGCATAGTACCTGAAATACAATAAATTCCCAATTATAATTCTGTCATAGAATTATTGTTATTAAAACCTCTTTTCTACAGTAGAGATCTCACAGAGTTTAAACTCAGGGAAAATGATGGCAGCGATATAGTTTTTGAATCTCCCCATAAGAATACACTGTAACTAGGATAGCCACAGGCCCTATTCTACATAGAAACTAAATGACGGGGTTTCCCCATAAATGTGAATGTCCAAGTAAGTGAGGACAGGTCACACTGCCCGACATCGTTTCAGCATCTGTGTGGAGGGGAGTGGGAGGCAGGCAGCTGGTTCCTGACGCCTTGAGAGCAGGACGGTACCGGCGCCCGCCTTCTCAGTCAGAACCGAAGCTGACAGTGGGAGGGGTTCTGCAGTCCCATTCTCGGGTGGCGTCACAGTAGTGCAGTAAGGTGGGACGATGTGTCAGAGCAGCCCGGCCCTGGCCTGTGCCCCTCTGAAAAGTAATGAGACGAAGCCGCGCACTGAGCAAAAACTGCTAGACTTAGAATCCAAACTGGACAGAACAAGGACCTTAGGACAAAGGGAAGAGGAAGTCCGGGTAAATATTGGGAAGGAAGGCCAATATAGACATAATCTTTTGAATACTTTGTAAAAATGAAAAGGGAGTGTTAAAGCCATGGACCTAACAAAAGTCAGCACCCTCCCTCCTAAAAGTACAGGAAAACTCAGTTTTTAAAAAGAAACAACTGAAAAGGATTACTGTCAGCTTCCATTCAAAGTTATAAGAAATAAGACTGAACAGACCAATATCGCCATAGGCAATGAAAGCACACTAGAAAGACATCACAGGACTGATAAAAACCTAATATTTCTTTTATTTAGTGGTTTTTTTTTAAGCTTTTAAGTTTTTTAATCCTCACCCAAAGATATGTTTTTATTGATTTTTAAAATTTTTTTAGAGAGACCGGAAAGGAGAGAGAAACATCGATGTAAAAGAAAAACGATTGTTTTCTTCCTGTACGGGCCCCAACCGGGGATCAAACCCCAAACCTAGGTGTGTGCCCTGACCCGGAATCAAACCTGCAGCCTTTTGGTGTACGGGATGCCGCTCCAACTGAGCCACACCAGCTGGGGCAAACGAATTTTTTTAAGCAGTATGATAGGAAATCTATAGTATTTAGAACTATATCAATAAAAATGGGAAAAGCTGAAAATTAAACTACCAAGTCTTAAAAACTGGAGGAAAGAGCAAACCAAAAGAAAGCAGAAGGAAGGAATTAGTAAAAAGTGGGGAAGAAAGGAGAGAGGATAGGATAGACAGACCACCAGCTAACCTCAAAAATGAAGGAAACAAAAATTTAAATGACATGGGAGAAATAACCATAAAACAGGAAAATTTTCAAAATTATAAAAGACTAAGTAATTTTATATAATTAGAAAAATAACTTTTTTAGAAAAATGCAAATTGCCAAAATTTACCCTACTAGATATAAAAATTCAAAACAAACCATTACCATAGAAGAAGCAAATAAAGGACTCCTTACCAAAAAACATCAGGTCCAGATTGTTTAAAGGAGAGTTCTACCAAACCTGTAAGATTAAATAATCTCAATGTTTAAAGAATTCCAGACACTAGAAAAATAATCTTGAACCGCAAAGTGCCAAAAAACAAAATGAGAAAAACTTCCAAATTCATTTTATAAAATGAATATAACATTGTCTCCAAAACCTGACAGATTGTACCAAAGAGAAAATTATATACTACTCTCACTTAGAAATATCATTGCAAAAATTTTAGCAGCATATTAGCAAAAAATCCAATAACACTTTCAAAAAGTAATAAATCATGACTAAGTTGAGCTTATTATAGGAATGCAAGGAAAATTCAATATTAGACAATCTATTAATATTCATCATATCAAAAGTTAAGGAGAGTAATCATATGATTATCTCCATCTTTGCAGGAAAGATTTTTGACAGAATCGAGCACTCATTCATGTTAAATACACTTAAGTAGAAATTGATGGTAATTCATTGGCATTGTACCTCTGCTGAAAAACCAGCATCTTAATGTCAAAACAAAAGAGGCTTTCCAACTAAAGTCAGGAGCAAGGCCCACTGTCTCTTCTACTACTTAACATTGTGTTGGGGTTTTAGCTAATGAAGTTTGGGAAGGAAAAGGTAAAACTATTTGCAGATACGATTTTATATCTGGGAAACCCAAGGAATTTGTTGAAAAACTCTGAGAACTTAGTAAAGTAGCAATTTATTAACATAGAAATATCAGTAGCCTTCACCAGAGAGTGCATAGTCTGATTCCATTTAAATGAAGTTCAAAATAGGAAAAACCTATCTGTGCTGTCAGAAGTCAGTCCCCCTTTTAGTCACTACCTCCCTCCCCAAAGGTAAGTACTATTGTGACGTAACCACCATCAGTTAGTTTTGTCTGGTCTTGAACTTTATATAAATGGAGTCATAACGTATACTTTTTCTTTTCAACTGTCCTTTTAAGTTCAACAAGGATTGGAAGAGTACAAGGCAGTATCTGTGGTGCTGGTAATGTTCTGTTTTATGATCCAGGTGCTGGTTCCTAGGTGCAATCACTTAATATGAAGCTGTATACACTTATGATTTATGCACTTTTCTGTATGTATCATCAAGTTCAATAAAAATATTTACTAATAAAAATAAAAGACTTGATAGATACACAGACCT